GACTTTTAATAAATTTTATTTGATCTTAAATAAGTGTGTCATTGTTTTTATTCTAATTTCTTGATTTCAATAGCTAATATTAAATATTAATAACGTTAAGGGGAAACTAGAATTAAGACGAATCGGTTTAAAGTCAAAACTTTTTATAATTACACTTAGGACGTTGTATTTCGATAATTGAATTTTGCAAGGTTAGTATACTAACAGGCATTCGATTTACATTTGGGATAAATTTTGGAGTTAGTTTAGGATTGAGGGCTTAAGTGGAAATTCGGATGAAATGTGAATAGACCAAATTGGCCCTTCTCCAATTCAAATTCACCATGCAGCCATGAAATAATTCTTGAATAAACTCAATTTCAATCACTTCCAATTTCTGCCGGTTCCATTTCCACTTCTCAATCCAGCACCTTCCATTACCATTGCCGACTCAACTCCACTCACAACACCTCAATATATATATACATTCCACCTCCCTCATCCGCGGCTTAGCTTTCTATTTCAGCAGCCCCGACATTCCACAACACCATTCCAATTCACTTCACTCCCTGCCTTGGTATCATCGACGAGAGGAAACCAGAGAGAGAGCTGTGCGAGTTGCGGACCTTGAGCTGTCCGAGAGTGCGTGAGAAAATAGATAACCGTGCAAGCTTCATTACTTCTTTCATCACTCGAGAGCTGCCGTTTCATTCTTCACCTTCAACCATCCGTGATCAATATAAGCACAATCAACACAGCTGCAACTACTGCACTCAGACCAACCATCCTCGCGTGCGTGAGCCAAGCCGGGAGAAGAGAAAAAAAAATTTCAGCTTTCTGGTTGCGTGAGTGAGCTTCATTTGAGGTAAATTCTGGACTTAAATTAGTTGATCATGGGTTGATGAAGCTGTGTAGAGGCATGCATGTGAGGGTTGTGCGTTTGGATGAAGAATTAAGTTATCAAAAAATTGGTTTCGGAAGAATTTGGAATTTGCCGTGAGCTTGAGCTGGAAATTTCAGCTTTGATTTGCTTGATCGTGATAATCTGAGCTTAAATAGGAGACTAGCTAACTAGAAACTAGATGATTATGCTATGCATGATGTTAATCAGTTCGGATTAATCAATAAAAGAAAAAAAAATGAAAATGAAACAAAAATCTGCTGCATGCAAGTCATCCGAAAATAGTTGAACAAATTATGGAATTTTGGATGGATGTTGCTGGTGTCCGACCTTGTTTTGGACTAGAATTGATAGTAATTCCATTTATTAGTCATGCATGTTAGTTTTGACTATATAATTCAGAGATCCAGCCGAGGAAAATCCGGATTAATGATCGACTAAGCTGCTGGAATTTTTCCAGTATAGCCGAGTGAGGAAGAAAAGAATTTTCCAGATTTCTTTTGCGAATTTTGGGTTCTAAAATTGTGTTATAATCTGTAATACATCGTATAGAACTTTAACTTCATTATGCATGAGAGTTTCAAACATGAACTGAAGCAATTATTGAAGAAAAGTATTTTCCAGCATGGCCAAGAGAAAAAAGTTGAGCACTTGACTAGTTTTCCTTTGAATTTAGCTAAGATTTTTGTATTGGATGTTTAAGACTAGGTTGTAGCTTACTAATCCCCTTTTGCATGTTGAGTTGAAGTAAAACTTGAAGAAAATTATGGACAAAGTTCTATATTTAAATTGTTATATGGCTGGATATTGTTCAAGGTTGCTGGCCGAATTGGTTGGGACTCTTGGTGAGTTTATTTGCTGGATTTGTGTATTAATTACTTCAGCTTGGTTTGGACAGATTATAAGCTATACGTTTAGTGTTTCTAGCAAAAAAAAGTTGGACATCTTGAACTGAAATTTGCTGGAATCTTCCTGACTATCAAAACAAGAAAAGAAAACCTGAATTTTTAGAATTATTTGGGAGTCAGGTTGGCTGTGGTTTTTCTTTTGTTCTGGTTGAATTGTGATTGAAAGTGTTTGTATGTTGGCAAGAGCTAATGATTGATGAAACTCTTGGCCATTTGAGTAGTTTTTACAAGAATTTAATTTTTGGTGAATTTGTTCAAGTGGTTGGTTGAAACGTCCTTAGAAGGACCAGGGTTTGTGATTTGGAATTGTTGTGATACCTTGGACTTCCTTTATTGAATTTTGTTTGGAATGGAATCTGTTGAGACCTAGGGCTAATGATTGATGAAGCCCTAGTGAAATTTATATTTGAACTGTGTTTTAGCTATAATGGCAATTTGTAATGTAATGTGCAAATGAGTTGGGATCGTGAAGTCCGATTTAGTCTTTTGAATTCAAGTACCTTTAAAACAAGCCTTGTGGGTACATTTTGTCCTAATATCAAGTTATATATATATTGATATTAAAATTTAGATATCGGGACTTTTAAAACCTTGCTAACTAGTTAATTCTTTTCTTTGCTTAAAATAGTTTTATTACTTTTAGGAAATAATCGTATTAACTTCTAAACTTTAAATTTTTCGTAAAATTATTCCTGGCTAGTTGTTTTAGCGGAAAATTGTTAAAAACACTAGATTTGAATAATTTCAAATAAAAGGCTTGGAAAAAGAAAAACTTGTTTGGCAAGAAAACTTGTTTGAATTAGATTGGTTTCAGTTGTACCTCTAGAAAGTAGCTTTAAAGAAATCACACGAAATATTTTTTTCCTTTACTAGCCTTAATTCTAAGAGATTTATTGATTTGTTTCAAGGAATTAAACTAGTTTTATATTAGATAAGCTTTTATACATATAAACCAAGAATTTGTTTAGTAAAACTTATAGTTTTCAAAACTTGGATTTCTAGGGTTTAGCGAGGGCGTGGACTTCGATTCTCAACTTGACTTTTGAGCTTCACTGTTGGTGAGTGTCCGTGCTTGTTCTATGATTATCTTGTTAAAGTGCTTTCTTGACTTGTTATGTGATATTTGGAAAGTGGTTTTCCTGATCCGTCGAAGTGGGCAGTGTGTACTTTATCGCACTAGCCCTTTCGAGTGGTGACTTACTTGAAATGTTTTCTCGAATGTCTTGCTTGCACTATTTAAGTACTGAGTAGGGGAATGTACCACACCTGAGGGTGGGAGGGCCTCTTATCCTATCTCAAGTACTAAAACCTTGAATTTGTTGACTGGAGCGTGGATTCGTCAACTAATCCACCAGGCAGGGGAATGTACCACACCTTAGGGTGGGAGGGCCTCTTATCCTGACCTGGTAACCACTTGTTGTGACGTCGTTGGGTGAATCCCTCGACTAGTTTATAAAAAGGTATACTCGAGTAATACCAAACTCTCTCGTGAGGCGTGCGGGCCCGGTGTGGGAGTAAGTTGGCTGGGGCGTGTTAAGGAAAAAAAATATATGAATCTACATGGACTTTAGAGAGTGAGAGTTGACGGAGGGTCAACTGCGGTTCACTTTGATCAAGTGCGGGGAAAATGGCTCCTGAGAGCCCTGTATCCTACCCTGTACTGTTATACGCCTTTCTACTTACTGAATTTAAGCTTGGAACTATTATTTACTATTTGTTCTTATGATTGCATGTTTTGGACACCACTGAGCTTTAGCTCACCACACGATATTTATTTTTCCTTAACAGGTTTTGGCGTTCGTAAGTGTTGAAGTCTGCTTTTAACTTTTGTAAATATTATTTCGAAACGTCTTTGTATCTTTTGTTTTGGATTGTCACTTGAAACTGGAAAAGTGCAAACCCTAAGTTCTGGCTTGTATGAGTTTATTTGGGCTCTATGAAATTATTGTGTGGTTTGTAATGTATATTGGTAGTGTGTTGAACTAGTCGGAGATGTACTTAAGGGTGAATGTTGGGATGTCCAATGGTAGTGTTATCTCTGAAGTTAATGTATTTTTCTTAGAATTTCAGTCGTTTAAAGGTTTGGCATGTTCGGATGACGAATTGTGTGTTTGTTCTAAGTTATACGTGGATATTTGGTCGGTTTGTTTGCGTGAGTTCTGGCGAGAGCTAGACAGGCGACCCGCCAACCCTCTGGTTCGCCTTAGGGAGTAGTGGGGCCGTCACAAGTGGTATCAGAGCCTAGGTTAGAAACTTATTTGGAAGAAATATTAGATATGCTAGAAACCCTGAACCTTTTAAGAGCTAAGAAGTGAGTTGGTTAGATATACCTTAAGTGGCACTTGAGCAAGTTAGTTATTTATGTATTAACCTTTGGATTTTAGTTATTTTGCAGGTATGGAAAACGGAAACGAACATGCTAATAGTAATGGAGTGGTTAATGGACATGTAGAGCCTCTTAGGTCCATCTCCTATAGGCCACGAGACGGAAGACCTCGTATACGTTATACACCAGTTGATCGGAGTGCAGGTATTAGGGCCGACGCTACTATGATGATAGACGAGGTCATGGGGATTATTCAGGATACTGCTCAGGCAGGTGTGGAGGAGGACCCGGAGGAGGATCCAGAGGAGAACCCTGAGGAGGACGTTACTCCTGGTAGCCCTGCCGAGGGTTAGATTAGGTTTGATCTGTTTGCATCTACATATCTAGGGTTAGTTAGGGTGACACTAGTTTAGGTCATAGCATTTTGTCTAGTTAGATGGCCTACTTTTGAGGCACTATATCCCTATTTTTGATTTAAGGGATTGTTTGTATATATTTGCTAAACTTGTGTGCCATACTTTTGGAAGGCACCCTAACCTGCTATTTGTATGAACTTTGGTGTGTGAATATATGTGTTAAGTGTTTTATTTTTCTCTCCTTAATATTCGTGTTGATTTTACTTACAAAAGAAAAATATATATAATAATAATAATGATAATAAGTAAATAAATAGCAATAGCTTCGATTAATTGCTCTATTTACATATAGGCATAACTAGGTTATGGATCGATGAGTTAGAGGTAGAGAACGTGGGAGATCAACTAGACAACACCCCGAGGGTGGTGGCGATAGGGAACCTGAGGTCAATCAAGACCAGGGTCGAGGGAGTGTGGCCGGAGACTCAGTGGCCACCGCAATCAATAGAATAACTGATGTACTAGAGCGTATGACTGAGCACCAAGCCCCGGGGGCAGTGCATCATCAAGGAGGCCCCATCGATACGGAGGATCGGGCATTAGAGAGATTCTTGAAGTTTGGGCCTCCTAAGTTCTATGGAGGCCCCGAACCTGAGATAGCAGAAGGTTGGTGGGAGAGGATCTCTGACATTTTTGCAGCTTTGAATTATACGGAGGAGAGACAAGTGACTTTTGCAGCATTTCAGTTTAAGGGAGCTGCTCGTTCCTGGTGGAACCTAATTAAGGTTAATTGGGACAGGAATCATATTCCTAGGACCTGGGCAAACTTCACTCGAGAGTTCAACGCCAAGTTTCTACCCCCTCTCATCCAAGAGAAAAGAGAGGATGATTTTATTAAATGTAGGCAGGGGGCGGTGAGTGTCGCTCAATATGAAATCCAATTCACAAAATTGTCCCGTTTTGCTCCTGAATTGGTAGCCACGGAGCAAAGGCGTGTAAGGAGGTTTGTGTAGGGACTAAATGTGGAGATCCAGGAGGGGTTAGCTGCTGTTTGGTTAGACACGTTTGCTGATGCTGTTGAGAGAGCTCAGAGGGTGAAAGTTACTAGAGCTCAAGTAAAATCCTTCCAAGCCAAGAAAAGATTTGGCCCTAGCAACAGTCCGACTTATGCAAATGCTCCACCGATCAAAGTGGGTCGAGAAACGGGTGGAGTAAATAGTCCTGGAGCACCACGAGGCGCTCTAGCAAAAGGAGCTGGGGCTAGAGGTACCGGAAGAAGAGATATCGGTACTAGAGGAGGACCAAGTGGAAGGAATCAAACTAGGAACGCCCTGCAAGGAGGTCGTGTGACCACCCCTCAGGTAACTTGTGGATATTGCAGGAGAGTTGTCCATACTGAGGACGGATGCTGGAGGAAAGAAGAAAAGTGCTTGAGATGTGGAAGTAGTGAACACCAGATTGCCGGTTGTCCAAAAATACAAGAAGGTGGTACCCCAAGTGCTGGACAAGCCACTTCTGGAGGAAATAGGCCGAAAGTTTCTGTCAGGGTGTACGCTATGGACGATCAACCTGTACTTGATTCTTCGGAGGTTGTGGAAGGTACTCTTCCAATCTTTCACCGATTAGTTAGAGTACTAATTGATCCTGACGCAATCCATTCATTTGTGAATCCAATTTTTATGTCCGGAATTGATGTACAACCTATTAAATTACCCTTCGATCTTGAAGTTAGGACCCCTATGGGTAATAAGAGTATAATCACTAGCCTGGCCTATAAGAACTGCGAATTTTGGGTTGGAGAGCGTAAGATGCTAGTAGATCTAGTCAGTTTGGACATAAAAGAATATGATGTTATCATAGGAATGGATTTCCTAACTCATTACCACGCTAAACTTGATTGTAGAGCAAAAGTGGTAGAATTTTGGATTTCTGGGGAAGCAACCCTGAAATTGGATGTGAAAGGTAGGTTAGCATCATTTGCGATGATTTCGGGAGTTCGGGCAAGAAAAATGTTGTTTAGAGGAGCGCAAGGTTTCTTAGCTTTCCTGATTAATGCTCCCAGTGATCAAGTAATGTTGGAGGATGTAGCAGTGGTAAGGGAATTTCCAGATGTATTTCCCGAAAAATTAAAAACATTACCTCCGGAGAGAGAAGTGGAGTTTAAGATTGAACTAGTACCGGAAATGGCCCCGATTTCTAAGACTCCGTACCGGATGGCTCCTGCAGAGTTAAAAGAATTGAAAATACAATTACAGGATCTATTGGAGAGAGGTTTTGTTAGAGAAAGTGATTCGTCATGGGGCGCACCTGTCCTATTTGTTAAGAAAAAGGATGAAAGTTTAAGGTTGTGTATTGATTATCGAGGATTAAATGAGAGTACAATTCAAAATAAATATCCTCTACCATTGATTGACAGCTTATTTGATCAGCCGCAAGGGTCAGCAGTTTTCTCCAAGCTGAATTTAAGGCAAGGGTATTATCAGTTGAAAATTAAGAAGGAGGACATACCTAAAACTGCCTTTAATACAAAATATGGATATTTTGAGTTTGCAGTCATGCCATTTGGATTAACTAATGCACCAGTTGCTTTCGTGGATTTAATGCAGAAAGTCTTTAAAAAGTACTTGGATCAGTTTGTGGTAGTTTTTATTGATGATATCTTAGTATATTCTAAGACTCGAGAAGAACATGTTCAACACTTGAAAATGGTTCTGCAGATTTTAAGAGAGCATAAATTGTATGCTAAATTTAGCAAGTGTGAGTTTTGGCTGGATGAAATTTCTTTTCTAGGGCATAAAGTTTCTAAAGATGGGATTGCCGTGAATCCGGCAAAAGTTGAGACGGTCACAATGTGAAAACAGCCAGAAACTCCAACAGAGGTTAGAAGTTTCTTGGGTCTAACAGATTATTACAGGTGATTCATCAAGGACTTTTCAAGGATTGCTGGACCTATGACAGAGCTGACAAAGAAAAATAATAAGTTCATTTGGTCTTCAAAGTGCGAATCAAGTTTTCAAGAGTTAAAGAAGCGCTTAACATCAGCCCCTGTTTTGACATTGCCTGATGGAGTAGAAGGTTATGTCGTATACTCTGATGCCTCTAGGGAAGGTCTAGGATGCGTACTAATGCAAAAGGGTAAGGTGGTTGCTTATGCCTCTAGAAAGTTAAAGTCTCACGAACAAAATTACCCAACGCATGATCTGGAACTGGCCGCAGTGGTCTTTGCTTTAAAGAAATGGAGACATTATTTGTACGGTGTGACCTTTGAAGTTTTTACGGACCACAAGAGTCTTAAGTACTTGTTCTCCCAAAAGGAATTGAACTTGAGACAGAGGCGATGGGTAGAATTTTTGGAGGATTATGATTGTTCAATCAACTACCACCCAGGAAAAGCCAATGTGGTAGCGGACGCTTTGAGTAGAAAGGCTCAAGTAGCGGGGTTAATGGTAAAAGAATGGGACATGTTAAAAGAGGTTAGTAGTTGGAACCCTCGCTTGGAGAGACTGAAGATTTTATTTGGGAACCTGTCGTTGAGATCACCGTTGATGGAGCGTATTAAAGAGGCACAGATAATGGACCCCACGATCTAGAAAAGGTTGGAGGAAGTGCAAAACGGAGAAAACCTAGATTTTAAACTAGGGTCTGAAGGAGTGTTAAGGTTTCGAAATCGAATCGTGGTTCCAGTTGATGAAGAGCTAAGGAAAGAAATTTTACAAGAATCACATCGATCAAGGTATACTATACACCCAGGAGTGAACAAAATGTATCACGATGTGAAGGAATTATACTGGTTGGACGGTTTGAAAAAGGACGTCGCAAAATTTGTACAAAAATGTCTGATATGCCAACAAGTAAAAGTTGAACATAAAAAACCTTCTGGTTTATTGCAGCCACTAGAAATTCCCGAATGGAAGTGGGAACACATAACCATGGATTTTGTAACGGGATTACTTTGAAGTCAAAAAGGTTTTGATGCGGTTTGGGTGATAGTGGACAGGCTTACCAAGTCCGCACATTTTCTACCTGTGAGCATGACCTCTTCTTTGAAAAAATTGGCCAAGTTGTACACAGAAGAGATCATGAGATTGCATGGTATTCCTATAAGCATTGTGTCTGATCGAGATCCAAGGTTTGTTTCACGTTTCTGACAGAAATTTCAAGAGTCATTGGGGACCAAGTTGAAGTTTAGTACCGCTTATCATCCCCAAACAGACGGGCAGTCGGAAAGGACAATTCAGACTTTGAAAGATATGCTGAGGTTGTGTATATTGGATTTTGGAGGAAAATGGAGCCAGTAAATGGCCTTAGTAGAATTTGCCTATAATAATAGCTATCATGCATCAATTCAAATGGCACCTTATGAGGCATTGTATGGGAGAAGGTGTCGATCTCCGATTCATTGGAATGAAGTAGGAAAGAAGAAAATCTTAGATCCAACGGTTATACCTTGGATGGAAGAAACTCATGAGAAAGTGAAACTAATTAGGGAAAGGCTTCAAACTGCCCAGAATCGGCAAAGGAGCTACGCCGACACAAGGAGGAAAGATCTGGAATTTGAAGTAGGAGACAAAGTGTTCCTAAGAGTCAAACCCGTGAAGGGCGGAGTAGGGTCCAAAAAGGGTAAAAAGTTAAAGTCAAGGTATATTGGACCTTTTGAAATTTTGAAACGAATCGGAAAGGTGGCGTATCAACTGCAATTGCCTTCGAGCATGGCCAAGATCCACAATGTATTTCATGTTTCTATACTCAAGAAATATTACCCCGATCCAAGCCACGTGTTGCAATTGGAAGGAATCGAAGTGGATGAATCATTAACTTATGAGGAAGGACCAGTTAAGATTCTGGAAAAAGAAGTGAAGGAATTGCGAAATAAGAAAATTCCTTTGGTGAAGATTTTTTGGAAAAATCATGAAATAAAGGAAGCAACTTGGGAATTGGAAGAAGATATGCAGAGGAAATACCCTGAGTTATTTCTTTAGAAGGTGAGAATTTTGAGAACAAAATTCATTTAAGAGGGGGAGGATGTGAGAACCTTGAATTTATAAATATACATATATGTACGCGTTGCATGTGCATTTTAGACTTTTAATAAATTTTATTTGATCTTAAATAAGTGTGTCATTGTTTTTATTCTAATTTCTTGATTTCAATAGCTAATATTAAATATTAATAACGTTAAGGGGAAACTAGAATTAATACGAATCGGTTTAAAGTCAAAACATTTTATAATTACACTTAGGACGTTGTATTTCGATAATTGAATTTTGCAAGGTTAGTATACTAACAGGCATTCGATTTACATTTGGGATAAATTTTGGAGTTAGTTTAGGATTGAGGACTTAAGTGGAAATTCGGATGAAATGTGAATAGACCAAATTGGCCATTCTCCAATTCAAATTCACCATGCATCCATGAAATAATTCTTGAATAAACTCAATTTCAATCACTTCCAATTTCTGCCTGTTCCATTTCCACTTCTCAATCCAGCACCTTCCATTACCATTGCCGACTCAACTCCACTCACAACACCTCAATATATATATACATTCCACCTCCCTCATCCGCGGCTTAACTTTCCATTTCAGCAGCCCCGACATTCCACAACACCATTCCAATTCACTTCACTCCCTGCCTTGGTATCATCGGCGAGAGGAAACCAGAGAGAGAGCTGTGCGAGTTGCGGACCTTGAGCTGTCCGAGAGTGCGTGAGAGAAGAGATAACCGTGCAAGCTTCATTACTTCCTTCATCACTCGAGAGCTGCCGTTTCATTCTTCACCTTCAACCATCCGTGATCAATATAAGCACAATCACCACAGCTGCAACTACTGCACTCAGACCAACCATCCTCGCGTGCGTGAGCCAAGCCAGGAGAAGAGAAAAAAAAATTTCAGCTTTTTCGTTGCGTGAGTGAGCTTCATTTGAGGTAAATTCTGGACTTAAATTAGTTGATCATGGGTTGATGAAGCTGTGTAGAGGCATGCATGTGAGGGTTGTGCGTTTGGATGAAGAATTAAGTTATCAAAAAATTGGTTTCGGAAGAATTTGGAATTTGCCGTGAGCTTGAGCTGGAAATTTCAGCTTTGATTTGCTTGATCGTGATAATCTGAGCTTAAATAGGAGACTAGCTAACTAGAAACTAGATGATTATGCTATGCATGATGTTAATCAGTTCGGATTAATCAATAAAAGAAAAAAAAATGAAAATGAAACAAAAATCTGCTGCATGCAAGTCATCCGAAAATAGTTGAACAAATTATGGAATTTTGGATGGATGTTGCTGGTGTCCGACCTTGTTTTGGACTAGAATTGATAGTAATTCCATTTATTAGTCATGCATGTTAGTTTTGACTATATAATTCAGAGATCCAGCCGAGGAAAATCCGGATTAATGATCGACTAAGCTGCTGGAATTTTTCCAGTATAGCCGAGTGAGGAAGAAAAGAATTTTCCAGATTTCTTTTGCGAATTTTGGGTTCTAAAATTGTGTTATAATCTGTAATACATCGTATAGAACTTTAACTTCATTATGCATGAGAGTTTCAAACATGAACTGAAGCAATTATTGAAGAAAAGTATTTTCCAGCATGGCCAAGAGAAAAAAGTTGAGCACTTGACTAGTTTTCCTTTGAATTTAGCTAAGATTTTTGTATTGGATGTTTAAGACTAGGTTGTAGCTTACTAATCCCCTTTTGCATGTTGAGTTGAAGTAAAACTTGAAGAAAATTATGGACAAAGTTCTATATTTAAATTGTTATATGGCTGGATATTGTTCAAGGTTGCTGGCCGAATTGGTTGGGACTCTTGGTGAGTTTATTTGCTGGATTTGTGTATTAATTACTTCAGCTTGGTTTGGACAGATTATAAGCTATACGTTTAGTGTTTCTAGCAAAAAAAAGTTGGACATCTTGAACTGAAATTTGCTGGAATCTTCCTGACTATCAAAACAAGAAAAGAAAACCTGAATTTTTAGAATTATTTGGGAGTCAGGTTGGCTGTGGTTTTTCTTTTGTTCTGGTTGAATTGTGATTGAAAGCGTTTGTATGTTGGCAAGAGCTAATGATTGACGAAACTCTTGGCCATTTGAGTAGTTTTTGCAAGAATTTAATTTTTGGTGAATTTGTTCAAGTGGTTGGTTGAAACGTACTTAGAAGGACCAGGGTTTATGATTTGGAATTGTTGTGATACCTTGGACTTCCTTTATTGAATTTTGTTTGGAATGGAATCTGTTGAGACCTAAGGCTAATGATTGATGAAACCCTAGTGAAATTTATATTTGAACTGTGTTTTAGCTATAATGGCAATTTGTAATGTAATGTGCAAATGAGTTGGGATCGTGAAGTCCGATTTAGTCTTTTGAATTCAAGTACCTTTAAAACAAGCCTTGTGGGTACATTTTGTCCTAATATCAAGTTATATATATATATTATATTAAAATTTAGATATCGGGACTTTTAAAACCTTGCTAACTAGTTAATTCTTTTCTTTGCTTAAACTAGTTTTATTACTTTTAGGAAATAATCGTATTTACTTCTAAACTTTAAATTTTTCGTAAAATTATTCCTGGCTAGTTGTTTTAGCGGAAAATTGTTAAAAACACTAGATTTGAATAATTTCAAATAAAAGGCTTGGAAAAAAAAACTTGTTTGGCCAGAAAACTTGTTTGAATGAGATTGGTTTCAGTTGTACCTCTAGAAAGTAGCTTCAAAGAAATCACACGAAATATTTTATTCTTTTACTAGCCTTAATTCTAAGAGATTTATTGATTTGTTTCAAGGAATTAAACTAGTTTTATATTAGATAAGCTTTTATACATATAAACCAAGAATTTGTTTAGTAAAACTTATAGTTTTCAAAACTTGGATTTCTAGGGTTTAGCGAGGGCGTGGACTTCGATTCTCAGCTTGACTTTTGAACTTCACTGTTGGTGAGTGTCCGTGCTTGTTCTATGATTAACTTGTTAAAGTGCTTTCTTGACTTGTTATGTGATATTTGGAAAGTGGTTTTCCTGATCCTTCGAAGTGGGCAGTGTGTACTTTATCGCACTAGCCCTTTCGAGTGGTGACTTACTTGAAATGTTTTCTCGAATGTCTTGCTTGCACTATTTAAGTACTGAGTGGGGAAATGTACCACACCTGAGGGTGGGAGGGCCTCTTATCCTATCTCAAGTACTAAAACCTTGAATTTGTTGACTGGAGCGTGGACTCGTCAACTAATCCACCAGGCAGGGGAATGTACCACACCTTAGGGTGGGAGGGCCTCTTATCCTGACCTGGTAACCACTTGTTGTGACGTCGTTGGGTGAATCCCTCGACTAGTTTATAAAAAGGTATACTCGAATAATACCAAACTCTCTCGTGAGACGTGCGGGCCAAGTGTGGGAGTAAGTTGGCTGGGGCGTGTTAAGGAAAAAAAATATATGAATCTACATGGACTTTAGAGAGTGAGAGTTGACGGAGGGTCAATTGCGGTTCACTTTGATCAAGTGCGGGGAAAATGGCTCCTGAGAGCCCTGTATCCTACCCTGTGCTGTTATACGCCTTTCTACTTACTGAATTTAAGCTTGGAACTATTATTTGCTATTTGTTCTTATGATTGCATGTTTTGGGCACCACTGAACTTTAACTCACCGCACGATATTTGTTTTTCCTTAACAGGTTTTGGCATTCGGAAGTGTTGAAGTCTGCTTTTAACTTTTGTAAATATTATTTCGAAACGTCTTTGTATCTTTTGTTTTGGGTTGTCACTTGAAGCTGGAAAAGTGCAAACCCTAAGTTCTGGCTTGCATGAGTTTATTTGGGCTCTATGAAATTATTGTGTGGTTTGTAATGTATATTGGTAGTGTGTTGAACTAGTCGGAGATGTACTTAAGGGTGAACGTTGGGATGTCCAATGGTAGTGTTATCTCTGAAGTTAATGTGTTTTTCTTAGAATTTCAGTCGTTTAAATGTTTGGCATGTTCGGATGACGAATTGTGTGTTGGTTCTAAGTTATATGTGGATATTTGGTCGGTTTGCTTGCATGAGTCCTGGCGAGAGTTAGGCAGGCGACTCGCCAACCCTCTGGTTCGCCTTAGGGAGAAGTGAGGCCGTCACAGATACGGTGGTTCTTGAGATTAGACTATCATCCCATCTGATGATGGTATGGCGATGAAGAAGAGGAGGAGAAAATGGCATCGAGATGATGAACAAAATAAGAAAAATAAAAGAAGTAGATGATTTCTATAGAGGTGCAAATGCTACCAAAAATTAGCTATTGTGAAAGAGAATTTCTCAAAATCCCATTACCATTAAGGATTCATAGTGATTGCCATTATTGTGTATAAA